AATGTTTATAATATTATATGTTTTATGTTTAAATGTAAAAATTATTTATCTCCTGATGTATTTATAAACCTTTATAATGTATAACCCATAACAAATACAATCTTTGCAATCGAAAAAATCAACAACAACCTTTCTGCCAAACTAAATTTGAACAACTAATTATTTCTTATCGCGGTCCTTATTTATGGAATAAAATAGTTTTGCCAAATTTTGATTTGTCATTGAAATGGAATTTAACTTTCAAACGAAAATTAAAAGAAGTTATCTTTTCAGCAGAAAATATTTTTTTTTGTTTTTAGTTTTTTTGCTTCACATATTTCATATAATTTATCCAGTATATTTATATTTTAAATGCACAGTTATATATAGTTTATGTTGATTTTTATTGCTTAATTTGATTTTATTGTTATTATTATTATATTTGATATTGTAAAGGGCTTCATGATAAGATCGTATGATCTTCTGGAAGTCCTGCCGATTATATTTGTAATAAAGCTGTTCTGTAATTTTAATTTCTTTTATTGAAAGCAAATAAATTTACAAAAAAAAAAAAAAAAAAAAAGCCTGCTGACGGGGGCTTCAGTACATACACCAACTATCTTATAGCCTATTGCTGCAAAGAAGTGCCACTACATCGGCTGGAGGTTTGGGTCTTGGTAGCAATCTTTTCTTTCATTATTCTTTTTTTTTTCTGTAAAAGCTGTATGCTATAAAGATAAGCAAAACGTGTAAGCAATTGTTGAAATTAACTATTTGCGATACTATTCCGTTTTTACTATTTGCGAGGCTATTCCGTTTTTTTAGTTTTCGACACTATTTATTAAATACATTTACAACACTATTCCTTTTTTTTTTTTTTTGCGATGTTAGGCCTTTTTAATATATTCGACATTATTCTGAAGTTCATTTTCCGACACAATTACTATCACCCTTTTTGGAATTTAAATTTCAGAAAGATATTTAGTATTGTTAAAATATTAAAATTTTTTACAATATTTTGCTTTTATTCAAAAAGCAATTAAAATCACCGCAATTTAGAACTTTAAACTAGGTAATTTCAATGAAAAATACTGGGTAATTTGAGCATGCTCATGTTATGCGAAATTGGTGTTTTTAAATAAAGTCAAAAAAAAATTGTTTCTATGCATATTTTTCGAAAAAAAAACTCCACAGATTTCTTGCGAATATATATATTTTTTTATGAAAAAAAAAATCTATATCTCAACATCAAAGTTTCGCGCCACAGATTCTCTTATGCGTAATGATAATATTTTAGCAACACAAAAATTTACACTTATCAAACTGCTCTTACCACATAAAATCCATTTAAAAAGTACTAAGCAACTTGAACTTCACTGCTCACATCTTAAAATTTTTTGAAATGCTCATACTACCTAGATGCTCATTTTACCCGAATCTACTCTATATACATATAGGACTAACCTCCACAAAAAACCTAATAACCACCCTCCCAATAAAAACCGTCTCTTTTCTTCTAATAAACAGGGCTAACGACGCCGTTCGGTACGGCACTGCTGGACATGCAATGCTTTATTCTGTATATTTATCAAATTAAGTAATATTTATTAATTATTAAACTATTTTAATAAGTAATAAATATTAACTATTAAACTAGTTTAATAATTATATATTTTTAATAATTAATAATTATTAAACTAGTTTAATAATTAATAAATATTACTTAATTTGATAAATATACAAAATAAAGCATTGCATATCAAGCAGTGCCGAACCGAGACGGGGTAGGTGTAACTTTCAAACCTAACCGATAAAATTTATTTTTTCATCTTGGTCGATAACATGGGTTTCGAAGTGGACGAGCAGAATAGTAAATTTATAAAAAAGTATAAATTAAAAAAAAATATATATCGAAAAATAGAATTATTTGGAAAAAATGCCCTCCTGGCTCCCCGGCGTCAGGGTTAGGGTTAGGGTTATATTAATATAACACGTATAAACAGCCTTGCTTAACCAAGGCTTTTTAAACGTGTTATATTCTTTTACTTATCAATGATCCGCACCTGATTTGTTTCAAACTTCTTATATAAAATAAAAAGATAGATGATGATGGTGTATTGATGCATAAAAACAATTTTTATATATTTTTTTTAAAGTTGCCTGATCTTATCATAAATAATAAATAAATTAAAAACCAATTCAGTATAAGAATTTCAGAAACTCTTGTTGATGAAAATGTATATCGGCATCCAAAAAAAGTAAATTGGGTAAAAATCACAAAAACCATTGGTATGATGAATTTGCTCATGCGTCAATACGTAGTCTTAAACTTGTGTACTTTGGACTTATTCATTATTTCATTAGCTATTTCGTGTGAAAGAACACAGTTATCTAAAATTTATAGTCAACAAAACGGTGTTTGCAGAACCATTTACAACACTCGTGAACACCCTAAAACTTTTTTAAAAAAAATTAGAAATAAGGGATGTTTTTAAAATAAATATTTAACAGGCTTCAGTTATTGAAGTACTAGGTTCGTACTACTTAGATAATTTGTTACCTAAGTTGAGATCTCAAACGGGTGAATCGGCCTTAAATCTACTTGTTAGAATCAATTAATGTACCCTGCTTTATAAAACTGATGTTATCGGTGAGAAAGAAAACCTCTTCTGGGTTCATAGGATTAGTTTTAGACTAGTCATATTTCTCCGATGAATTTGGTCAACAAGTTGCTGTTGACCAATATTTTAGGTTGGTACCGCATTAAATTTTCCATTTTGAAATCTGATGCGCGAAACTTTCCGGTAAAGGGTTGTGTAAAGCTTTGAACAAGGCAATACAACACTTAGAAAAAAACATTTAAATAGTTGAAAATGAAAATTTTTGCAGCTTAAATGTAAAATAAAAATCAGCATGAAAATAAAAATCCATGGAGACGCGTGCGCACAAAATCATGCCCAGGATCAATATTAACTCTATGTTACGCACTTTTTTAAATTCATTTTTAAAAAACGGACAATTCCAATGCAATTTATTAAACTTTAGAGGGTTGTTTAAAATTCAAACGCAATTTGTAATGACTTCAAAATCAAGCAATGATAATAATCAGAAGAGAAAACGCTGCAAAGTTAATTATATTTTAAAATAAAAGGAGTTATCTGTTTTTCACTGTGTGTTGCCGTTTGACAACATTAAGTAGTGTTAATGTGTAGGGTTAATGTGTTAACCGTGTACGATCGTCGCTAATATATAAATATATATATATATATATATATATATATATATATATATATATATATATATATATATATATATATATATATATACATATATATATATATACATATATATATATATATATATATATATATATATATATATATATATATATATATATATATATATATATATATATATATATATATATATATATATATATATATATATATATATATATATATATATATATATATATATATATATATATATATATATATATATATATATATATATATATATATATATATATATATATGTACATTGGCGGAGGAAAGTTTTTAAATGTTTGAAATAACCAACTTATAAACAACAAAAATGTTTCAATTTTTTTGCGTTCATATTTATGACAAAAAGATTCTTTTAAAAAAAAAATTACTGTGATAGGAGAATGGGAACAAGAAACCCTAAAATTTTAGGCCCTCCCTGCCCCAAACGCGAGAGCAACAAGTTGATGAAGCATTTTTTGTACTATTTTCAACTAGACTTATATTCATTGAAAAATTTTAAATTTCATAGTAAAATATTTCAGTGTTCAAAAGTGCTCTCACGTTTGGGGCAGGAGGGCTAAGATTTTAGGGTTTCTTGTTCCCATTCTCTTACCACAGTATTTTTTTTTTTTAGAATCTTTTTGTCATATATATATATACATATATATATATATATATATATATATATATATATATATATATATATATATATATATATATATATATATATATATATATATATATATATATATATATATATATACATAATATTTTAGCATCTATAAAATATATTTGTTTAAATTGTCGTGATAACCCTCAATAAAATAGACATTAAATTAGAAGGTGTAACCTATTGACCGCATGAGTGAGAAGTTTTGCAATGTAAATTATATAAAAAATTTATGTTGCACAATAATACAGTTTAAACTCGTAGTCATGAAGATTGGACAAGAATTATTCATTGTTTACTATTTAAACTGTTTTAAATAAATACAATTTATATTTAAACAGATTTCTAAAGTACTTCAGACAAAATATAACAACGATAAGTCGTAGGATCAATAACTTTTACATTAAAATTTTTTCTATGGTCTAAATTTTGTTTAATTTTCAATCGAAAAAAAATATTTCAAGCGTTTTTCTTTCGTTTTTTTTTTCTTCCGACTTTTTATATTACACTGCCGCTAGCTGTTTCTCAAGTTTCTTAACTGACGACTTATCAATACGTCACATTGCAAAACAAATCTTTCATATCTTAGTTATGTAATGTAACGAGTTCTCTCTAAAAATAACTTACTTGACGAGATTTTTGGTCAGAAAACTTCTCTAAAATAGCTTATAACTTCTGCATACTTTTATTTGTTTTTTATTTAAAAAAAAAAAAAAAATCGGTATTTTTTAATTCTATATTTTGACTTATTTCGTATCATTTTAAGCTTTTGTATGAAGACGTACACGATTTTAAATGTAAATAGAATATATAGCTTTTTTTTTTTTTCCAAATAACTCTATTTCTTGATATGCTAAATATTATAAATAAATTAAAATACGCTATGATTATTAAGCAGTATAAAATAACAAAAGAAAAAAAAAGGAAGAGGAAAAAAAAAAGGATTATGGATAAAATAAAAATACTTAGTCTTTTGAAGAAAAGCTGTATTCATTAATATTAATAAAAAGAGTTCAGGTGTTCAAAAAATCAATGTTCTGTAGAATAAGAAAGTTTTTTACCATCTGTAAAAAGAAGATTGAAACTTTATTTAACAAGATTTTCAAGAAGGTCAGTCTTTTATTTCTGAATTATATTAAATAATTATTAATATATTACTATAATAATATTACTTTAAACGCACGTCGAGTTCTAAAAACATGACCTTTGCCACACAATACGAGGTAATATCGTTCATTATTTCTATGGGGATTCCCTTTGTTGATTTATATTTCTTTTTTTTTTCTCAGTCAAACAAGCATTGCCTTTGAATTATGATTGCACCACCCTTGATAAATATATTATTTATTATTATTCAAAAGTAATTGAGAGTTTTATTTAAAAAGTCAAGATTCGAAAAAGAATTTTAAAGAGTTTTAAAGTCTAGTAAAACAAAAAGTTCGTACTGATTATTAAATTTTTACTTATGATTTGGTTGTAATTAATTCATATTTAAAGTTCATATTAAAAATTGTTTAAATTTTGTTCAATAATAAATTTGAAAATTTCAGTTAATTAAAAATAAAGGCAAAATAAAGGCGTGTGTATATGTGTGTGTGTGTGTGTGTGTGTGTGTGTGTGTGTGTGTGTGTGTGTGTGTGTGTGTGTGTGTGTGTGTGTGTGTGTGTGTGTGTGTGAAGGAGAGAGGTTTTTTTAGTAACAGTGTAATAAACACTATTAATAATATTAGCATTTTTAATGAGCATTACTCCTGTTACAGTTTCATCCACAATAATCATACTTCCTTAATTTCAAAACTTCTGTTTACTAATTTTTTTTACAAAAATAACTTTATATATTTATAGTATTTTTAAAAGAATAATTAAAAAGCAAAAGTAAATAAAAAAATAAAAATTCAAAAACCATTCATATAAGTATGCGATAATAAAGTTTGTAAAAAAGTAAACTTTTACTCTTTATATTTTTTAAAGTTAACAGTTGTTTGAATGAATATTTACTTATTAATTTTTATGTTTGAATGTGTTAAAATTATAAATAAATTTTTTGTCCATGTTATTTTTTGATACACTTATAGATATAATAATTTCCGTTAACCAAAATATATAACCACAGTATGACTGCTGCTCATGAACTACCTATTTATAGCAGGGAGGAAGTTGCTCTTCATACAGCTAAATCTGATGCTTGGGTAATAATTAGAGATAAAGTATACAATGTCACTAATTGGTTAGATAAACATCCTGGTGGTGTTTCATTAATATTAAATTTAGCAGGAAAAGATTGTTCAGTTGAGTTTAACAGCTTCCATCTAAATCCTAACTATGACAGACTCAAGCCATATCTTATAGGGCAATTGCCTGCAGCTCAATGGCATAAAGATACGCAATTAGGAAAAGATCTTAAAGCGTTATTTGAAGAGTTAAAAAATCTTAAAGCATTTGAAAGTGATTGTAAGATTTTTACTAAAATTGTTTTAGTATAGAATAATATTTTTATATCTTTTATATATATATATATATATATATATATATATATATATATATATATATATATATATATATATATATATATATATATATATATATATATATATTTTAATACTTTATTTGACAAACTTATTTATTTCTATTAATCTATTTTATTCATCATGGTATAGTCAATATGTACAACATTTTTTACACCAAAAACAATTAACTTTTTTTTTCAAATTTCTAATTTTAGCTAATTAAAAACAACCATCTGTCCTATTATCCGCTATAGTAGGTTGAATTGCTTAGGTGCATAATTTTCAACTGCCTTTATAAATTTAACATATATTATGCAATTCAATTAACTCAATATGATATGGCAATACCATTTATTTATTTTTTCTTTTTTGCCTGTAAAAATTTGGGTTGGCATTTTAAAACTAAAAGTGTAAATATATACAGCAGTGCCAATGTAAGTTAGCATTGGTAAATGATTTTCTTTTATGTATGACTTGTAATATAGGAAAGTCAAATCTTTTTACTATAAATATTCCTTCGTGCCTTAAAGTTTTTTTCTTATTTTTAATATAAATTATTGCCTTTGAATTTCTTTGTCTTCATGCTTTTCTGACTCATGAAGTTTAGAATTTTAAGGATATTTTAAGCATATATAGTAGTTGTTTGCAATCTTAACATTGCATTGTTGAACTTATGCAATACTTTTCCATAGAAATTTTAAGGATATTTCAAGCTTATATAGTAGTTGTTTGCAATCTTAACATTGCATTGTTGAACTTATACAATACTTTTCCATTAAAAATGTTATGAAAAAATATTTTTTAATTATCTTGTGAAATATATCTTAAATTGTAAAATTTATCTGAATTAGCTTTGGTCTTTTTCAGAGAAGATTTGGAAATTAAATTGTCCAATTATTAATATTATATCACAAATTTATGTATAAATTATGGAAAAAAAGTTTTTGTTTTTAGTTCATTTAAGTATTAAAATTGTTTTGTTATCCCGTTTTACAAAAAATTTCTGTGTTGATATTTGTTTTAGTTCATTACTTATAACAGCTGTAAATAGAATCTGCTGAATTTTTGTTTTCATCTTCTTTGAAAAAAATAAGATAATAATAATTATTTAAATAGTATAACTAAATTCTACACAAATAATAATTTTTTATTGTTTTAGATTGGTTATATATTAAACTTGCAAGTATAATTTCATCACTTTTTGTTGCTTCCATCTTCTTTTTACACTTTTCATCATCATACTGGTCACTTTGTTTAAGTGCAATGTTTCTTGGTTTATTCTGGCAGCAATTGGCTTTTGTTGGTCATGATCTTGGCCACCATGCTGTAACACATAATAAAAAAAAAGATGAGACTCTTGGTTATATATTTGGAAATTTTCTTCAAGGTTATTATTTTAAATTCAACTTTTATTTTGTTTATCCTTTAAATGCAGTTCTTTATTTTTTTTATTCTGTTATTAAAGGAATCAGTGTAGCTTGGTGGCGACACAGTCACAACACCCATCATACACTTACTAATTCAATCAATCACGATCCAGATATTCAGCACCTGCCTGTGTTAGCTGTTTCTAAATCGTATTTTAACAACATATTTTCAACGTACTATCATCGGGTCTTAAAATTTGACAGGATTGCACATTTGTTTGTTTCAATTCAACATTATATGTTTTTTCCTATCATGGGATTGGCTCGTTTTAACCTTTATGCACAAAGTTTTATTTTTAATCTAATAGGGGTCGGAGCTTCTTCAAAGGGAAAACAGGCAGAGTTATTTTCTTTACTGGGTTTTTGGACTTGGTTTTTGTTGTTGTTAATGTATATTAGCTCTACACTATCTTACAGCCATGCTATTATTTTTTTGTTTTTATCGCATGCCACAGCAGGTTTAGTACACATACAGATTTGTATAAGTCATTTTTCTATGGAAACATATATGGGAGTGCCTCAGAGTAACTACGAAAATGATGGCTATTTTTTATCTCAGTTAATGACAACCATGAATGTTGATTGTCCTCCTTGGATGGATTTGTTTCATGGTGGACTTCAATTTCAAATTGAGCACCATATATTTCCACATTTAACAAGAAGCAAACTTCGTTATGTTCAAGGTAGGTTACAGAGCTTATGTAAAAAGCATGGTTTGCCTCACCACTCAAAACCATTTTTTGGAGCTGTGTTAGCAGTTGTGGAAAAGCTTCATGAAACATCAAAAGAGCTTAAATTGTCTAATATGATTTGGGATGGAATGAACCTTGTTGGTTAAGTTTGTTAAAACTTTCAACTAAGCCAAAACGGTTACTTATAATTCAGAGTTTTTCTGTAATAATGCAATGTGTTCACAACGAAAAAATTGTTATTATTATTTTATTTTTTTTTGGTATTTATTAGAGAGTGTATGTTGGATTTTATAGTTAGCCTTAAAAGAGAAAACATAGTTTGGAAGCTTCAACACTTTTTCTAAATTACTTTCTTCTCTTTTTTTTTCATCTTGTTTTAAAAAGCTTTTTTTTTCACTTCAAACAGTATTTTTTTTTTTTTTTTTTAAATTTAATAATATATTTTTTTACTTTAATCATAATTTATATTCAATATATTACAAAAAATACATAAAATTATTGACATAGCTATTTTTAGATTTTTATTGCAGTCATTTAGAAATGTTGTTATTTTCTTTCAAATTTTTAAACAAAGTGTAAATAAATTGATATAATATATCATTATATACTTTATTAACTAAAGTGCATATAAATAGTTATATATATATATATATATATATATATATATATATATATATATATATATATATATATATATATATATATATATATATATATATATATATATATATATATATATATATATATATATATATATATATATATATTAGATAGATTCTATTCATTTTTATAAAAACTAGGCTGTTTTTACTTGTGCAGCAGCTATGCTGTTAGTGTCTCTTTTTTTGTTTTCTTAATATTTTATATGCACGACGACATTCTTATGAAAATGATTTTTTTATTTCAGTTTTTTTTTTTAATAAAAAGATTACTATTTTTATTTTTATGTGAAAAATATAAAAGATTAGAGTCGAAAAACATTAATAATTTTGTTTTTATATTTGTTTAAAAGTAATTCGTTGATAATAACCCGTAAATAATAGTCAGATATCTGAAAGAAAATCAAACAAATTTAACAAATATAAGTGTGAATAAGCATTTATAAGATTTAGCTGCATTTAAAATGTTTTTAAAAATAATAAAACAGAAAAGTAGATAACAAAAATGCAATGATAGGCAATATAAAATTAAAATATTTTTTTTCGAAAAAGTTTCATTTAGAATATTAATTTTGCATGTTTCTGACAGCTCAAAAACATTATAACTTTATATACTCTTTCAGGCAATATTGTACATATTTAGTAACTAAATAAAATTGTTTAAATAAACTTTTTTTTAATGAAGTATTTTCGAGCTACGATCAAAATCCTTATTTTAACTACGAACTAAATCCTTATTTTAGTACATCACACGAAATCAATGTGCGATGTTTTTATTGAGATAAAGCAGTAATTATTTAGGTATTAAAGTTAGGTTCCGATACAAAACCATACAAAAAAAACCCGAAAAAAGTGAGTATTTAAGTGTCATTTTATTCTAATGAGAAAAATACAAAAGATTAGAGTCGAAAAACATTAACAAATATTATTTTCTATAAAAGTTCTTTAAAATTTCTATAAATTTTTAAAACACATTAAAAAAATTTCTATAGAAATTCTATAGAAAATTTAATAAGATTTCTATCAATTTCAATAAAAAAAGTGCTCTTAAGGTGGTACCCAGCCATTATTTCTATTATTTCTTATATTTTACACATAATAAATACCTTTTATGAGTTACTAGCATAAAAGATAAAAATCTAAAACGTATTGCAAATATTTTTTTAATCTGAAAAAAAAAAATTCCCAAGAACATAAATATCTTAAAGATTCTTAAATATCTTAAGATTACATCAATATTAAAGGTTGAAATTTTGCAAAACGCTAGTATTATTGTAGCTTGTGCCTCAACCAAAAATTTAAAAAAAAATTTAAACGATCAAAAATGGCAGACTTGATAGTATAAAAAACTATTTTTTAGCGATAAAACACTTATTTGGTATGGTAATTGTAGGTTAAGTTTAATTTTTTTTAAACTTTATTTTAGGTTCAGGCACTAAACACATTAATAATGAGCATATCCTGAAAATTTGAAGCTAAAATAATGTTTTTTTATTGAGATATCATTGTTTTCCTACAGCTACTCATAAAAAAAAGAAAAATTGAGAAAAATCAGTTTTAAAATTTTAAACCATGTACACAACTCACATAAATCATATCTCAAATCATGTCTTTGAGAAGAATATTATTGATATTCTAAAATTATTTTGGAAAAAATATTTTTTACTATTGAATTCTACAAGGTTCATTTGTCACTTTTTTTTTTCATTTTTTACCATAATATACAAGCTCAACAGAATTCAATTTAAAAATATATTGTTGGAGTGTATTTCTTTATAATTTCTCTCTATACTGTAGTTGTCTTCAATATATAATCTCTTTAACGAACAAGTGGTTTGATTTTTACTTTATTTATTATTTACCTATCTTATATTTATTTATTATTGTGTTATTAATGTTACATTTTATTATATTATTATTATATCTAATTATCATCTATGATTTGTACATACAATTTATATTGTATTATAATATTCTTAATATTATTGGTACTTTATTATTATTGTTATTATTTCGTATTATTACTATTATTATTACATATATCATTATTATTTGTTTAACAATCTTTTCTTCTTTTCTCTCTTATTTATATATACAGATGTTGAGTTTTTCATTTTTTTTTTTTTTTTTTTTTGTTTTTTTTTGTTTTTTTTTTTCTATTTATTTATTTATTTTTTCGTGAAATTTTTATGTTTTTTAGGTGTCACTTCATTGACTAGTTTGTAACTATATGTTGTGACACCTAACCAATTTATATTAATTTACGATGAAATTTGTAAATTTTATTGATATGGTTGAATAAAAAAAAAAAAATAATAATAATAATAATGGCTGGGTACCACCTTAATAAAAAATCTTTTTCGAGTATTTCACTTTTTTTCTATACCTTTATTTATACAGAAAAAAAAAACATTTTCGATAGCAATTTTTATAGAAATAATCAATTTTCTACAAGAATTATTATTGACTATATGTACCAATAGTTTATAGAAATTCTACAGAACCTTTTATTCATGGTGCATAGGTAAGTGGTCTAGCACTATTTATTTGTGCTTCACGTTCAAAAATTTTGCATACCTTAATAAAAATACAAAACGTATTTATTTTTCAACCAAAGGTAATTTTAACCGTATGTTTACTTGGTCACTAATTTACTACTTCAATTTATTTTATTTGTAACAATAGAATTAAGACTATTATTATAAATAAAACAGAATTAAGAAACTGAGTTGAAAAAGAATGAAGTTATCTTAAAATGTCTTTAAAAAATGAAGAGCTATAGACTACAGGCTATATACTAACTATAGTGCAGCCGCGGCACAATGGTCAGTAAAGAATTGAAAAGTCCAAGGTTCAATGGCATCTCTGGATATAAAGGAAGGCGTAAATTTACCAGTTAAAATAGTCTTCTACGTTGCTCTGAGACAAGACCATTGGAGTTTTATTACAAGACTATTCTTGTTTTTATTTTGTAACAATACTAGTGTGGAAATACAATAAATTTTGTCAAGTTATAGAAAACAATATTTTTATTTTTAGATTACATAACTCGTTAATAGTAAATATATATAATTTAGTGGTTAATAGAAAGTTAATACAATACTGTTGCAGACCGTATATACACTAGATGTTACGAACTAGAAGCTACGATATATATATATATATATATATATATATATATATATATATATATATATATATATGCACAAGCCTCAAAAAATAATGCAGTAATCATAAATTAACTACAAAGCTTCTCAATTCACGAGTTGTTGTAAATTAAAACTACCCTAATGTTAATTAATTCGGATAAGTTAGCCTAATTTTGGTTAACATTTAGAAAGTTTGATTTATTTTAGATGGGAAACATTTTTATAATGGGGTTTATACTCTCAATAGATAAAGAATTTTGTTTTCTATAATAATGTAATAATATTTTTACTAGAAGCTATATTTTACCGGATTTTTGTTCTTTTTTCAACTTATGTCAGTCACCGTTGCAACCAACGATATAAAAATAAAAAAGAAAGAGAAAACCAATATACGGGATTGTCCAGAAAATCCTTTCGATTTTTAACTACTAAATTGAAAAGAATTTTTCTTTTACAAAAAATAATTTTATACTGTGATATATTGACCCTTTATGAGTTGCCATCTATCCCGTAATTAAATAACTGTTTTTTGATGAACGTCAGAATTTTATGTCAATTGAGGTGGCTCGCCAGGTTCGGATCATAACTTTTACATTGAATATTAGAGTATACAACCCTGACAATGAAACCAATTTCATTGCCAGTTATCATTCTCCTTAAAAATTAGGGTTGGTACCTTAAAAACCCAAAAGCAGAAACCCACTAAAAAACCAACTTAATGGGTTTTTGGTTTTAAATTATTTTTATTTGTAATTTTTTCAATTATGAATTAATTATAAATTAATTCCCTATAACATTTACGATTTGATCTCAGCAATTGTTCTTTATTTACGATTTGATGTAGCAACAGCAATTGTTCTCAGCAACTGTTCTAATGATAATAAAATAAGTAGTTTAGTGAATCATAAATGAGAATTTTCTTTTAATTAAAGCAACAATATTCAAAATTAAAAATTCAAAACAAAGTTATCTAACAATTTAGCCAAGAGAAATCATGCATTTTGATCTTAAATGTATGTAAATTTGTACAAGCATTTCTTTTTCTAAACAATTCTTGCTCCAAATAATTCTTAATCTTGAACCAAATAATTCCAAAGGATGAGAAAAATCTTCCCATTGATCGAGTTCTAGTCTGATAAGAGTGCAACTGCCGTAAAAAATTGGCAAAATTTGCAGGCAATTTGGAAGACTTAGGTTCCTTCATTTTTATAATTCTCCATCGATTTGTTGCTGATGTTGTGCTATTTACAATTGAAAAAAAAAGTTGGGAAACAACTAGCATATTTTAATTTAAATGCCTATAGCCAGGCATAAATTTGGGATAAACTTCATTCAACCATTCCTCAGCTTCTTCTTTTGACTTCTATTCAATGCTCTTTTTAAGTAAATAATTCAAAGCATAAGAGTAGTAAACTTAAACAAAAATTTTACATCTGCTTTTATTTAAATTTGATCACATACACTTTTTTACAACTTGCAAGTCCTTGCAACTTGCAAAGCCAGTTTATTTTTCTGATTACTTGCTGTTGTAGTAACAAATTTAGATATGATTGTTTGCCATTGTCCCGTCATTGCAGTTGACTGAATAATTGACAAATATAAGGAATAAATAAAGCTTAAACATCTTTGCTCTTTATCTTCTGACTGGTTAGAATTATTTGATGCTGCATATGTAGATGACTTTGACTCTAAAACTAATATACCACTAAATACTTCAGCTGATTCCATAGCTCTTCTTTTTTTCTTTGCTATCGGTAAGGAAGGAGACGTGAACTTCCTGATTAAATGCTCTTCCGCGGTGTTCTGTGACGAGATCGTTAGGTCTTCTTGCGACACTTTAAATTCAAAAATATATATTAATTATGCTGATGCATTAACTTAATTTCTTTGAGCTCATGTAGAATCCAAATATCAAGCTTTTTACATATCCAAGTTTTCTCAAATGATTGTCTACAGTTGTTTTGGATATGTTTAGCTTCTCAGCAACTTCACGTACGGTTATATGTCGATCACCATCAATCAAAGCTTTTACTTGGTTTTCATCAATCTTAGTTGGTCAATTAATATGCAATGTTTTGAACTTAAAACTTTTCAGAACGAAACTTTGACAAGTTCATTCTGTTAATGCAATACTACCTTACACAGAACATATTTTTGGGTGTGCTTCTGCAGCTTTCTTATCCTTTTTGAAATAATATAGTATGCTGGAAATGTTCATTGGGATCTCCCATTTTGAAAGTAGTGTCGAAAAAGTGTAATCCACCTTTAATTTTCAAGTAAATATCCCAGCGGGCATTTGTTTTTAAAAGTTACGTTCTAAATGTCTTTTAAATGTCTTTTAAACGTCTTCTAAACATTCTTACGTAAAGAACGTTTAAAAGACGTTTAAAAAACGTTTAGAAGACATTTAGAATGTAACTTTTAAAAACAAATGCCCGTTGGGATTATTCTATACTTTTAGAGGATAAAATAAATTTGATGTTTGGAATACTCAGAGATGTTAAAAACGTAATTAGAATCATTTGTTATAAAAAACCAAAAGGTTTTTCTGGACAACCCAATATATATGAAAACTAATAAAAAGAAAAATGGATTTATTTTTACGTTGATTGACTATTTTAAATTGATTGATATGTTTATCAAAGACATTAGTTTTTTGCATAAATGTTTTTCATTGCAAATTTTAAACCATTTTTAATTGAAACGTGTTTCATTATAAAATTCATATTTGCGTTGTTGTTGTTGATAAAATTAATGATGAAAGTTGGGCAGTAGATGATATAGTCAATGCTGATTGTGATGCTAGCTCTGGTGTTGAATTTTCAAATTTTTGTGTTATTTTCAGTTTCGTTAAGTCATTATTGGATTTATTTAAAACAAGTAACCCTGTTTTTTGAAAGCATTTACAGCTGGTTTTATGGTGAAGCACTTGCCACTTTCAAATATCAAACTTTTAATAAACTTTTTTTTTTTAACTTTTTAATAAAAGCTTTTTTTGTGTGTTAATCAATCCTGATTTTGGTGTAATGAATCTGAATGCACTCTTTTTAAATATTATTCCTAGATAATATTTCAAAGCGTTTTCAACATCTTCTTTGCTGTAGATGTTGTTTGCCATTTTGTTGCAAGTGATATTTTTCTTTATTAGCTTGCAAAAAATAAGATTAATATTAACAGAGCCGGATTAAAACCATTTTAGGCCTGGGGTTGTAAATATGAGAGGGTTTTAGGCGGCAGTTACCTATATATGCCGATCGGGAACAAGGGTATATAAGATCCTAGCAAAAAAATTTTAAATTTAGGTATGCTTTTAGAGCATTTTTGACCAATAGTTAGGAACACAGCAACATTTTTTTAGTAGTTCTCCCTTATTTGGTTGCATATCCATTATAATAGGCCGCAATTATTTTTTAAATTAACTTTTAAAGTAATTAGAAGTGATTTAAAGAAAGTAGAAGTAATTTCAAGTATTAAATTTAAAACATCTCAGTGTGGTTCATCACATCCTAACTAGCACATTGAGCCTACGTAGTGCGCTATATTTAATTTTGTACATATTGTTTCCAAGTTTATGTTAGTTATTTTTTAAATTCCTTGGTTCTTAGACTAAAATTAATTTTACACTATATACTCTTTCCTAGTGGGCACAAAAATATTTTAAACGTCTAAAATAACGTATTAAATCGTCCAATGCGCCCGCTGGGTTAAGATTACCATACTTTGTGTATTCTGGATTTGATACTATTACGATGGTCATTCTCAAAGACAAAATCCCCAAAATAATTTTTATGATTACAGTTGACTCTCGATATGTCGAAACCTGAAAAAAGTTCGCGCGCAAGGGACTGGAAATAAAGTTATTTTTGAGTCAACTGTATTATTAATTTAATTTTCCTTTTTTTGTTTATAATACAATTGCATTAATATCATAATTGTTATTTTAATAACGATGAATTTTTCTTTTTTTATCAGAAGTTAACACTTCTTTTTTAATTTGTTCATTTTATCTTAGATTACTAGATTTGAAGATAAATAGATTCTGTGATCATATTGATAGATGTTATGATCATATCATAGATGTTAATTTTTGGGCCAGCCGTGTAAAGATACCAGTTTTGGTCTTTTGTTGAAACCACAATTTACTACATTTATAGCAAAACACCTTCATTGATGAAAGTATAAAGTGCAGAAGTGTGAAGTTTTTTTCGTCTCTATTCAAATAATTATATGTGAGTTGCTTATGACTTAAAAAAATAAACCATGAAATCGATATTATATAGCTAAAAGATAAATATGATAAACAAATGAGATATAAATATCTATAAATACTAGAAAAACACGATTAAACATCGATTGTCTGAAATGTTTTTTTCTTTAAAGACATTCCATGCGATAGACATTATTTTACACAGCAAAATTAAAAAAATTAAACTAATCTGTTTTATCGACATTATCGAAAAGCTTTCGTTTTTCTTCGTCATATTTGTTTCTTTTCATTCGCGCATAAAGACCCACTGAAGAATCCGTTATAAATTTGTAAATTACATTGACCCAAGAAGTATGGTAAGGAATATTGTTATAGTACTCAGGAGCATATTCTCGGACTTTTGGCAACAAAGATCCAGGAATGTTGGGAAAATCGTGATGTTCATTGTGATAGCCTACATTAAATGTAAGCTTATTCAAAATCCCATAATATGAATATGTTTCAAAGCCTTTAGAAAACATGTAGTGTTCTGCAATAAAATGACCCGCAACTGGATGTATTCCCATTCCAAGTAAGGAACCAATAATCAAATAAAATAATGCTTTTGGACCCAAGTAATAAAAAATTAAAGTATCAAATGCAAACTGTATAAGAAAGTTAAAAGCTTCAATTTTGCAAACTTCTTTTGGGTAAGAAATTAATGGACGGAAGGCATAAAAAAGAGACTGGAAAAACATCCAAATAGCTTTTCCAAGTGTATTTGTAAACAGTTTAGCTTCTAATACTGTTGGAATATCAGTATCAACAACATCATGACCAAGATAACGATGATGTTCTAAGTGATACTTTTTAAACGACAAAGCCATTGGGACACCGATAGGTAGATTTGCAAACATACTAAATATACGATTGTATAAGGGCTTGGAATGTCCAAATGCCATATTATGTGAAATTTCATGAATAGCTAATAACAAAGCTTGATTCACTGTTCCACCTACAATATACGTTATTAGTAACAAGAGAGGCCATTTAACATCAAAATATGAGATGGCTGTTACGATAAAAAACTGAAGGAGCACGAGAGCAGTTACTTGGTATTTAAATTGATGATCAACAACCATCAAAGATTTGATTTCAGGGTGTTTTTCTGTAAAAGAATAGAAAAAAAGAATTTAAACAAATATAGAAAGAACAAAATTACATGATCAAAAAATACTAATTTGAAATACTGAAAGAAAAAAACGTAATTAAAATACATCATTTATTTTTTAATAAAACCTAGTAAAAATATTTTTCTGTTTAAATATCAGACATTCTTTTATTTTTTGTCATATTAGCATTAAAATGAGTAGAAAGTATGAACTAAAGACAAACACTTTGAATGACAACTTAAAACTGACATATCATACAAGTTACAAAACTGACAAGTATCCCATAAACACCTGAATTGCCACTTATTCTAAATTTGGACTTCTGAATGTTGATAGTAGTTTAAAAAAATTCAACATATATTTTTTTTTTCAAATTCTTATCAATTTTTTAAAAGGAAATGTAGTTGGAAGAGCACTAGCGCCTTAAATATTTAGTTAGGTTAATAATAACTAATTTCAATTTATTTTTAAACTAATTGCTTATGAGAGTAGTTTTTCATGATTTTTGCAAAAACTAGATTTTTTTTTTGTTAAATATCGATTTCTTTATACAAAAAAATTAAAAGCCATATAACTAAAAATAAAATGAAAAATCAAATTTTTAAATCTATTTCAGGATTGCCAATATCATGTTTTTGCCAATCTAAATATCTTTTTTAATTTACACTTATTACGCGTGATATTTGCCATCAACAGTAGTAAAATCTAAAATTAGTGATTTAACAAATGTAAATAATTATAGAGAAATCACTCTAATGTCTTGTAATTATAATTTAGACAGCTGATTGTAATATTTCTCAAGGAATTCATATGTTCATTTGATTTCAACAACTTTGATTTGATTTGATTCAACCAAGTTTTTGACAGCATTAATCATTGGAATCTGTTTTCTAAATTAATTGATCATATAGCCAAGAATGTTATCTACTTGTATTTTGGTACAAAAATCAAACTATGAGTGTCGTATGAACCTTTTTGTATATGCTAATATTATTGTCCTAATTACACTTGGTTTGCAGTGCAAAAACTATTAACTGAATTAATTTTTGAAGTCACTGCCACTAATATATCATTTAATACAAAGATATATTAATGGTACTTAACGGAAACCAAAAATATAATTATGTCAAACAACTTTCCTTTATTTACTTTTCTGAACTAGTTTTTGTTGACAAGTTTAAGTATCTAGATCATATAAACAAAAATAATTTAACTGACAATGCTAATGTAATAGAGAAATAAAATGTTTATATATGTGTACAATTATTCTTATAAGATGATTTAAGAGATGCTCAGTTAAGGTAAAAAAACAGTTATTTAAGCTGCACTGCCTTTGTATGATGTAGCTTAATTTTTATGTAAATATTTTATGACAATCTTGTTACAAGTAATGTACTAAAATGTATTTGGGCCATAAAAAGTATTCAAGCATTAAAAATATGTTTATGGAACTATAATTGCCTATTCTAGACACAGTCTTTAAAATAAGTTTGTCACCTGCACCAGTAATGCAGCTGCGTATGCAGTAAACAGAATCTGATAATATAAATACGCTAATTTAATATTATTATTATTAGTCGAGTTATGTCATTTTCTAGGCTTTTCTATACGCAGGTTTTTTTTTAATTTTATTTACTAACAACGCGTATAACGGGTTGCTTACTGCTAGTTAGTAATTGATTATGTTTATTTATACTATGAACCTTGTATTGTACTTGTTGCCTAAATCAAATAAATAACAACAACAACAACAACAACAACAACAATAATAATAATAACAAAAATAATAATAACACTAATATCAATATTAATAATAATAGAACAATTATTATTTTTATTATAAAACAAATTTAATTTTTAAAGTTGCACTTTGATAAAGTCAATTTGTCAAAGTGCAACTTCTAAAAATAGAAAAAAAGACATCAGGCTTAGCAGAAAAAAAACATGATTTTCATGTGTAAACTTTTATATATGCTATTCTTACAAAAGCATGTGATTTTTTACAATATTTTTTTGTTAAGACTAAAAAAATAAAACTATATATCTTTGGAAAAAAAAATAAAATAAAGGAAATATGGAAAAATAATAAAATAAAGATTTGGAAACAAAATAAATAAAATAAATGGTATATATTTGGAAATAAAAAATAATAATAAAATAAAGCGAAAAATTGGTATACAAAATTGAAAATAGGACTAAAAAGGACTTCTAAACACGACAACAATCCTCGATTGATTTAATTCTGAGTAAAAATAATTCATAAAAAAAATTCATACTACTAATGGCATAAATAATGACTACTAATAACTAATGACATAAAAAAATATAACTACTATAAGTGCAAAAAAAAAATGTATAACAGCAATTATAACTAATAGTAAACCATTGTGTTTCTCAGACATACAATGATTTACATTAACTTTTTTGTCTCAGAAATATATTGCTTTACTGACAACTGAAAACTAAACTATTTTTATTTTCATTAAAGTATTTTATATAGCCTTAAAATACATTTTTATAAGCATAAGAAACATCATATAGTGGTGTCAACAAAGGTTCAACAAAGTTAATACTATTGCTAACAACAAAAACTTCGCTGATACCACTACTTGATGCTTTCGGTTTGCTTTTGCTTAAGGACCTTGGCAAAAGCAAACTTATTTAACTTAAGCAAAATTTACATAGTATAATAAATTTAAAACTTGGTAAAAAAACAACAGAAAAACAAACTTACCTAAAATTTCTTTTCTTCTTGATTTATGAGGTTCCTCTTGTTGGGACCAATTGAAATCTGTCGCTGAAACTGTCCCTCCCATATTTCCTAAACCTTGTAAACAACGTTATTTTAATAAGTTTCTGAAGCCATATCAATTTTTCTTAGGTCACAACTTGAGTCTATATCGTGATGAACTTTGAACTCATGATGTCAGGGAATACCCTTATTGTTATGCAATATATTTTAAAATTCGTTTAACTTAACTCCAAAAATAAAAAAACGAAAATTTGAATAGAAACCTGGAAACAATAGTATGAAGTCGTTTGGCCAATAGAAAATAATGGTTAGACCGGACGTAAACTTTCTATTTATTTTTTATATTTTATTTTTGTAGTTCTTAAATCACCTTCAAAACAAACAAAAAGGGGTCTACTATGGTATTTCGTTATTTCCAAGAATTGGGAGTTCGTCCAATAGCGTACCGTATTGGTGACGTCAAGTTATTTGTTTGTCCAAATTGCGTTTTAAAGAAATTCTTGTTTCTGGGCAATATTTGTCCGAATATATGTCTCACGATGTCCGAAAATCAATCCCAAAATACATTGTGCTTTTGATAAAACCTATTTTCAGAATTCTAACTTTACGCTGTTGTTTATTGGGCATACAACCACGAAAAAAGTTTTGTATATTAGTTTTAAGACAAAAAAAAAAGATGTTATAAAACGTTTTGACGGTTGGGCATTTTCATTAGGTTGGGTCCATTGGGCATTTCCATCGGGTTTGACGGTTGGGCATTTCTGTGCATGATTTTTTATTTTTTTTTATTTTAACAATTAGAAACGAGGACTTAAAGCAATATGAATACTACAAGGCCGTAGACAACTTTTTTTTAAGCAGCTTTGAAACATGAAGAAAACTCCTTGTTTAAGTATGAGGAATGAGGATGCTATGCAAAAAATTGCGGTGATTGGAAAACAATAAAAACCCTAAAAAGTTAGCCCCCCAGCCCCAAATAGGAGGGTTATGAGTCAAATAACCTTTTGTTGCTCTGCTTTTATGACCATATAAAGTTTACAGCCCCTCAAATTGAGGGGTGTAAACTTTATTAGGTTATAAAAGCCGAACAACAAGAGATTATTGAATCAAATTTGAAATTCGTTGATGAACATAAATTAAGTTTAAGAATGAAAAAAATAGTCCTATTCGGGGCTAGGGCGGGGGGGCTAAAGTTTTAGGGTTTTGTTGTTACCAGTCTCCAATCACCGCAATTTTTTGCATAACACCCTCATCCCTCATATATATGAAAATACTTAAATACGGAGTTTTCTTCATGTTTCAAAGTTGCTCAGCTCAAACATCAAAAAAAGTTGTCTTCGTTTTGAATTTTGCGAAACCTTGTCTGATTATAAACATGACTTCATGCGAAGCAGAAGTCAAATTCCACCATGAGGAATATAACAATTTTTTAAATAATTTAAAAAACATATAACATTTTTAACAAATTAAGTATACAAAAATATCGCAACTAAAAGCGGTTTCTTGATGACAAGACCACATGGTTTTCAGCAAGTTCCCCGCGTTTTTTTAACAACGTTTACTTTTTTATATTTATTATTGATGCGAAATTTATTATTTCTTCTGAAAAAGGTTCTTATTATATGTACGATATTTTATTTTATACATTGTAAATGAATCAGTCAATATTTATGATCATGTATTTGTAAAGTTTTATAATAGTACGACAACAACAAAAAACTTGAAATTTTCAGAAAATGTTTATTATAGTATAATAATCATTTATATACATTCTAGGCATGTAAGGTTTAGGGCCGTCCCGAAGAGATTTTAATGATGGGGGAAAAGGGGGTATGACGTATCTGTTTTTTGCCAATTAAAGCCCAAAAAAAAAAATTAAAAAAAAGGACCTCGTTAGCCGACATTTGCCGACTGCCAACTATAGATCCAATTTCGCCGACTCTAGTGCCCAATTTACCGACTAATAAAATTCGCAATGGGGCTAGACACCCCTACGCCCCTTGGGACGGCCCTGTTTAGGTTAGATTTTAACATTTGGATTTTAAGATTTTCAACGTACATCAAAATATTTTTTAAGTAGGGTTCAGAGAAGTTTGTATGCGCAGTTATTCACCGAAAAATTGTACACATCATCAATATTGTGCGCAAAAATGCTGTCGGGTTGCTTCTTGATAAAAAGTACGTTGAATGCTCCGCTAAATTGGAAGAAATTCTCAAATCATCTAAAAATTTAACGCTCGTCAGTGATGGTTGGACGAATATTGGTGGCGATTATAGTAAATTTTTGTATCAAGGCACCAAATACAAAATCGTATTTCTATATTGTAATCAACGCATTGGGCATAATTCATAACGCTGCAGCTGCTGCTGGTGCCATCATTAAAGTAATCGAGGTTCTCGGCCCACAAAAGTTCAGAAGCATAATCACTGACAACGCTCTAATAATTAAAGTTATATGTAAATTAATTAAAAAAAAATTCCACACATCTCGACGTATGGCTATGCAGCACACGGTATGAATCTTCTCGTTAAGGACATTTTGAGTACTGCTGAAAGTTTAAAGACATCAAAGAAGTTGAAAAAATCATCAAGTTTGTGAAAAATTATCACATTGTTAAAGCAAAGTTTGACGAAAAGAGAATAGCAGCAAATATTCCTTGCTCACTCACAATGCCTGTTTTGACTCGATGGCTCAGTCAATTTTGTTCAATTAACGACCTTTATATGATAAAGTATGTTTTGATTCAATTTGCGGATGAAGAAAATGCATCTTTGAAAGAAATTGCTCCAAAAACAAATTCAGCCGCTGTTTTGACGCTAAATAAATCAAATGCTTTCTGGGATAGTTTCGCAAAACTTGTGAAAGATATCGAATATCTTTCAAACTTATCACCTCAAATATGAGAATTGTCTATATCCTGACACCAAAGAATGCTGCAGAAGGATTCTATTTTGATAAAGATAAGACTGGCATAATCAATTAAATTTTAGAAGCCTCCAAAACAAATTCAACATTTGCTGAGACAGTTGAAAGTGATATAATTGAATTGGTTTGAGAAATGATAGAAAAAAGAAGAATCAATTTTGAATAAGCGCAAAAAATTATTGGAACATCGTTTATCGTCAGAAACACCAGCAGTCTTTGAAGTTGCCAAATGCTATTGTTGAAATGGTTTGTTCGTCAGTAACAACAGAGAAAACTTCCTTGATTATTTGATTTATTCATTCACGATTGAGAAATTGCTTGACAAACAAACCGTAAAAAAATTAATTTTTATATATACCGATAGTATTTTATTGGATACAAACGACGAAAGTACAATACAAAACAGAAAATCAAATGAAAAATTACTTTAACTTAAAGTTTGTATGCGCATCATATGCATTCTTAATGCGCATAATTATGCGCATAACTTTTGAATGGTATGCAAACTTATGCGCAAGTGCAAACCCTAATTTGGGCATTCATTTTTTTAATTTATGCACACAAATTTATTTTGTTTAATTTATGCACACGAACTGGTTGAAACTTTTTTTTGTGCTAACGCAGGTAGGCTCTCTTGTCAAACCCTTATTCCGACGCTGTTCTTAAGGTCCGAAAATGTAAAAAAACGACTTCTTCATTTAAAAGAGAACCTGCATACCCCAAACCTGCATACCCCAAAACCTGCATACCCCAAAATTTTGTTTAGTTTGTTTGTTTAAAAACAAACAAACTAAACAAAATTTTGTGTAGTTTGTTTTGTTTTTAAAGTGGTTTGTTATTTAATTTTAAAATATCTTTTGTAATTTCATACTAATTTCATTATTTTCAAATTTTAGCACAAGTTGGAATTTTTTTTTTGTTTTGTTTCAGAGAAAATTCAGAGGAACCAGCAAAAAAAATTACTACAACTATGCCAGTTGAAAAACAATTAAAAAGGCTTTTGTGATTAGAAGCTATGCCAGTTGAAAAACAATTTAAAAAAGCTTTTGGCATTAGAAGCTATGCCAATTACAGCCCAGAAGTGCTAAAAGAATGTTTCTATTAGGACTGGTGTACTAACCCAAAGAGGCACAGCAAAAATGTATTGTATACCTAGATCTAGAATTAAAAATAAACTGAAAGGCTCTCGTATGAAAAATGTGGGGCGTGTATAAATTTTCAGTGACGAAGAAGAGTTTTTTAACAACGTTTATTTAAAATGTCAGACTTTGGGTTTCCAGTAGTAGTACCTTGACTTTTGAAGTAAAGGGTAATCTACATAAGAAAAATGTTTGTATCAATCAGTTTAAATTAAATCTAACTGACTGGAGGAAGTCATTTTTTAAAAGTCATGAAAATTTGCCTAGTCGTAAAAGAAAAACATAACAAAAGATCCGAGATAAAAATGTTGTCAGCAAAGTTTTCCTTGAGTAGTTAAAAAAGGACAGAACTTCTAACTAAAAATGGTCTTAAAAAAAAAAAGGAGAAAAGAATCCAGCTGCCTGTTGGTAGGAGTGTTCACTTGAAGATGTTAAAGCAACAGAGATTTAAAAATATTTTAAAATAGTAAACTTTTACAGAAACTTAGGTGAATTAAGGAATTTGTACTACAAATCTGTTGAATAACTTAACTTATACAGGAATGTTCTAAATACTATTTAATTTATGCTATTGTATTCATAATATTTAAGTGGTTTACAACTCATGCACAACGTAGCCATGCATAGGGCCGTAGATACACAGATCTCTCATATAAACGTTTGAATCTCCGTGTGTTTAAAGTATTGTACCTTTATTGCTTGAAATGAGTTTTAACGTGAGCAATAATACTACGAATACAGGAAATTTGACGCTCAAAAGTAAATTGATGGAACTCCTAAAAACATGTTATATTGCTCTATACATAAGAGATAGGTATTACTACAGAATCTTGAAAAGTTTAATTGTTAAGACAAATTACTTACACCCCTCTTTTTCATAGCCTCCTCCTCCCCGAGTTTGCGTTCGTGATATGTAATTTTATAACTTAAATTTTCGACATTTTTGCTACTTTCATAAATTTTTTGCGTGCAGGTCCAGGTTTAAAAAATAGTTGGATTATTTAAACACAAACAGTACGAAATTTTTACAATAATAGTAATAATAATAATAATAATAATAATAATAATAATAATAATAATAGCAATAATAATATTTTAATATTAATAATAACATTTCTCGAAAT